AAAGTTCAGCAGCCAATATATATACCTCTTTGCTCTAGAGTCTGGTCTCTGGTCAGTCCAAGCACATATTTCTCCTCAGAAAAGAGCCCGAAACATGAGTGCTCGACTCAAAGAGCACCGGACAAGTTTTACCTAGCACTACACAAGTTACTTCACTTTTCGAAAAATACATAGATGACGCGATAAATATTGCATTTTCATTGGGTTCTAATTATGACCCATTAGCCGTTTAAACCTCGTCTTGTGGCTTGTTTTCCTTGCGAGTAGTGCCGGTTAACTGAATTCCTAGCAAAGAACCACCGCTTTGGGTGGTGGATCCACCTTCGGCCGCCGCCTTCAAACCTTTCTTCTTCTTCACTTTCTGTGCCCACCCAACAAGCCCAACTTGCACGTGCTCGTCAAATATCGACTTTTTGAAATTAGTTCCCATCTTCATTTTTTTTGGCAGAAAATGGCCGAATTAGCTTTTCAAGTTATATCCTCAATGTCAAAGTATAATTTGGAATTAAAAATAAAATTAAGTTATACGGGTTCTTTTGGAATGAGCTAAAAATTTCGAGAATATATAAAAGTATACCTGAGTGACGAGAGCATAGAGGGGCAAGGTACTGTAACTGCAGAGTACCTGAATAAATACTCTAAAAAATAACAAACAAAAACATGAGTTTGTACTTTGGTTTGTTTTTTACATAAAGAAAGGTGGGGTAGAAAAGAATAGAATAGTTCACTGACCCAATTACGAGCCTTGGAACAATGTACCGAACTTGTCCCATAATGCAGGAGTCGAATCCATATTGGACCTACGATTTTGCCAAAATATCTATTTTCAGTTATAAATGTAAGAAGGAAATTGAAATCAATCATCAGGCATAAACTCACCAATATCCAGAAGAAAAATGCAATCTCGAATGCGTTTTGGAAGAGGATGAAATGGATCAAGAAAAGCACAAAGTGGGGTCGATGGAACCAAAAGTGATCGTCAGAAGGCTGCACAACTAACTCACCCTCGACTGCCACGTGTTTTTCTGCAACCTCATGAGCCAGCTGGCTAATAACGTGCTCGAGCTTAGTGCCAACAGCAAGCAGCAGCTGTAGAAAACAGATTTATCATGATTATATTTTAAAAAAAAAATAATAACTGTAAAAAAAACAACCATTTGAACATATTTTCTTCTGGTTTTAATTTAGCAAGTTGCGGGTGTAATTGGCATTAGAAGTAAAATGTAAGGTACTTGTGATTTAGAATTGTTTGTTTTTCTCTTTAGTAAATAGAAGCTATATTATTTAAACATCAACCAATGCATCACCATATATCGTGAAATGGAATCCCTGCCTATGAAGAAGAATAGATATTAAGGGAAGCAGAAAAGAAGCTAAAAAAAGAAAATGCAAGCAATTCTTCGAATACTCACAACAAGGGGAATAAATGCGATCCAAAAGTAAGTATGCCAACCTGCAATATTAGATAGTTCGCATAAATTTGCATTTTCTTTCAGGTTAATTAATTACAATCCAGAATTAAAAGTAGATAATAATTTTTTAAAATTAACATTGATGAATAGATTTATTGCAGTAATTATCTCTCCTTGTTCTAAACGAAAACCAAAAACATCTGAGGCGAGCTGCGAAATTAGACTGGCATACCTTCAATATTCAACAACAAGAAGATGACGACAAATACCCACAAATACCAACTGCAATAAAGAAAATCGGATATTAGCAAAAAACACTGCAGGCCCAGAATTTGACAGTAAACAATAGTTACATGCTACTGGAAGAGTAAATATGACATGATTTAATATCAGTAAAAAAAAAAAAATTACCTTATGCCAACAACTTTCTTGAAGTCATCTTCCAAAGCACGTATCATGTACTTGTGGAAATTAAACTTTGGGTTCCCTCGGCAGTGTGTCTGTGATAAAGGACAAGTTTCGTGTTAAATAATCAACAAAAACTGCATAATAAAATAAAGAACATGACACATACCATAATAAAACCAAGTCTGAGAGCTGCGTAATCTGATTTTGTGACAGATCCATAGAATTGCTTAAAGAAGGAGTGCTGAAAATATATCACATGAAAAGGTTAATATAAAACAGTTATACTACATCTTCTCGAAAGGATAGTAAGGAAATGCAAGGCTAATCTCTTGCAACTTTCATCATTGTAGAGTCTTTTCACTTTAAAAGGCTGACAAGCCAGTGAGTTTGCCATATATAAATGAAAAAACTCAAATTTCTCATTTCTCAACCACAAAGTTCGACTTACCAACCACCCTAAAATAGCAGAATGTTTACCCAAGCCCAAAAATCGTGTCTTGATGAAATCGTGTTCTCGAACATGTGTGAACCGGGGTTTCAAAGCTGCAAATGTTTATAATTCAATACTATGACAGAGAAAAGGCAAAAAAAACAAGAAGTGGAGAATTAAAGGAATAAAAACATTTAAAACATACTATTTCTAAAAGACAATGCCTATTTATAGTAAAAATGCTCAAAATAAGTGAATCTATACCATGTGATGTGTCATAATTATCCTTAGCAATAGCGTCCTCCCAATGTTTCCATTGTCGTATCTACGCATAAAAGTCAAAATTATACTCATTAACACATTAATAAATAATACTTACACGGATAGAATTAGTAAGTTGTGCACCTTTGCCCCTCCAAATACAACAGTGAGAACAGAGAAGGTCACGTGGACAATAGCTAAAACAAAGATAAAGATGTGTAGATGATGCAACGCTTCAAGTGATAATAGAGGAACCTTATCCTGCAGATAAAACACAGAGGAAAAAAAAAATCCCAAGTAAAGTTCCATGAATAGCTTCCAGAAAACGTGTAAGCTAAATATGTATGAAGGTGCATATGCAAACACCTTAAAAAAAA